TAATTCCTGCAGTTCGACATGTAACAAATCTGAATGTTTTTATAAATTATATTTATTTCATTTATACAATTTTCCTCGTCTTTTTTTTGGCACAATAAAAGTGCAGTAAACTTTTACTAAATTACATGATAACAAATATCAGTTGGTATTAATATACATCGAAAAAGTTTATATAGTTCAAAAAGAAACATTTGCTTGTGTCACAAGAGGAGGTTCTTCTCTTTTCGATCATCTTTTTTTGTAAGAATAGATTTAAACAAACCTTAAATGATGCTTAGCTTCTGAACTATTCACAAGGGAATTATTCTAATATCGTCGATATCGAGTATGTATCTGCTTGTTTACGTCCTCGACGCTTAACTTCCCTAATGAACCATCTCTTCCTTGCTTCCTCGCGAGCAGCTCCATAGCCTCTCGGCGCCAAATCGATCGTCTTCATTGAGAAATCTCTAGTGAAGTCAGGCTTCGTTTCCGCCGGTGGAAATCTTGTAGTTTTCTTCAATAATTTCTGTAACATTAACGATTAATAATGGAATTGTACGGATCGAGTTGAATCGTGTTTATAGAAGCTCACCGTATCTTCCGTCACCATACTTTTCTTATCGAATATTTTTCTGTCCGAAAATTGAATCGATAATTTAACCGGATCTTGTTCCTCTTTCTCCTCAATAGGCATCAACATTAAATCGTAATTGGCTCGATTTTCACCTAAAATTCCTACTTTTACACCGAACTCTTCTAACTTATCTTCTTCCGCGACGAGAGCGTATTGTAAGTAATGAATGCGTTCATCGTCATCAGGCGTAGCGTCTATCCCTGTAGACTGGAACGTATTATTTATTTCCCTACGAGGAAGAATAATGAACGATGAATAACAAGTGACTGACCTAAAGCTAGGAGTCGATGATCGCAATTTGAATATATGAGATCCTGTATCAAAGGAGAATTTCTTAATAATCTCCTTTTCTCTTGCATCTTCTGACCTTGCAATACGCGAATATCATCGTCCAACATATCTTGAACGACGTGTGCGATGCTTCGTCTCTCGGCCATGTTGTATGCCTCGGTTCTAAACAATCTGTGTAATTCTATTTCTAAAATCAACATTTTACAGATTTATTCATTACATGTGCATTTTATATAACAGATTTATTTAAACGTGGTTCTGTTATACAATGATTCACCGATCAGGCTGAAATGTTTGCGTTGCAATGCTATCCAGACGATGCGGTGTGCTAAACAAATTAATACTTCGAACATTCGTAAATCTTTTTCTCCTTGTGACTGAGTTATAGATCCTTCTTTCTTTCCGCCAGTCATATGATGATACTGAATCTTGTCCTGGCAACCTATTATTAAATCCGCATATTCTCTGCCTAAGATACAACGGAGACTCAACATCTCCTCGGCGTATCTGAATCTGTAGCCTTGAGCCAGAGGATTCGGAGCCTTTTTCATAGTCGCCGCACGTTCATCCATCAGCTCCTCCCATGTCATCACGTAAAATTGAAAATAAAGTATTATAGCTCTTAAGAAACGATCTACGACTGGCAAATGGAAGAAATTGACGAACTGAGGACTTATAGGGCTGACCAATAAATATAATACAAGATCTTTTATGTCCTGTAGGATAATCACATCTGGCTCGTACGGTGCCACTTTTCTTAAATAATATTTTCTGAATCTTAGCTGAAATTAATAAAAGTTCAAGTTTGTATCGTGAGTCAAGCCCTTTTCATTTTCTATTATTTACCTTTTCACGTTGGCTCAGAGCTTCATTGAAATTTAATATTAAATATGCATGTGGAGCATAAACGGCTGATTCCTGAACAGGGTCCGTTGTTGTTTTGATCTTCTTCACATGTTCATCTTCAGTTTTTTGTGTGCTTACATTTAAATACAAAAACACATGTTTCAGTATCTGGTTTGTTATAAACAAATCCTGATTCGCAGCATAATGCCTATATTAAATCCTTGAAGATTTGTTACCTCACTAAAACTATTCCATCAGAAATTTCATCCCATATAAAGAATCTCTCTTCCATTTTGAAGCATCAAAATAAACAAATATTATACACTTAGTTTGCAATAATGTGCTTTGTACAAAAATCAGGTTATATAATTGGAAACTGAAAAGTAAATAATCACTCAGTGCTGCATGGGTGTTTATTGATTACATTGGATACATGCACAGATACAAACATGTAACCATAAATGTAAATGTACATAGAAATTCTAATTTGTAAAATTTATTGAGAACTTAAAAGCAAATGCCAGATGTCCATATTGTTAAGTATAATAAAAAACAGACGTTAAACAAATTTGTCCATTTTAAATTAAATTTTATTTTGCAGTACATTGACTTGTAATAATATAAATCTATTAGCTAATTTTCATTCCTCTACATTATCATTTTGTTTTATAAATAAGCGATGTTTTGGAAGAGAATTTATAATGTCTTGATCTTCTGGGAAAACAGCTATATTCGGTAACATATAATACGGTACATCGTATTTTATTTTCTTTTCTGGGTTAGAAGTGTAATGGAATATTTTACATCTCACTTTAACTTCCTCTTGATTATTGATTGTGACGACAACATAAAATTCTCTGCTTTCAATAGATAAATCAGGACCAGATATAGGCTTCGTCGGCATAGTTATAGTATTTTCAGGCACGATGTATCCAGCTTTACGGAAAGATGCTTTTACATGCCACTTTTCTATGGTCCAAGGTGTATCCAAGGACATGTTTAAAGGTAAATAAAGTTGAGACAACAGATTCATTGTTCTCTCCACAAATTGAGAACTGAATTCCTGCAATTTCTTTCTATCCTCCTTGTCCTCGATCAAATATTTTTCTAGATTCTCAGGTGTCGCGTACACAGCTAATTTTGGCAATATAAGAGTTTCATAAGCCCTTTGGGAACGCATTGAAACCTTCTGGCCCTTTTCACCAACATCTTTTACATTGGTCAATAAGACCATGTCAATATACTTTTGTGGTTTAGCATTTGTATCTTCTACAAGATCGTAAATATAATGTTTATGCTTCAGTTTCGTGAATTTCTCATATTTCTTATGCAGAGGCGGCACATGTCTTCTTTTTAAAATATATGTGTTCTAAAATGGAAAACAATCATTTCAACTGTTTACAACTTTGTATACAACTTTGTAAATAAAATAATTACCCGACTTGGTTGCAGTGCTACGTTAGCTTGATTCGTAAGAAGTGTAGTCTGTGGTTTTAGATGATTTATACATAACTGTGTATATTTTAACATATTTACTGCGTTTGTTACTTTTAATATAATTATTTACATACGAAACATAATGTTTCGACTTCAATGTAGCATTAAGTTATTTTGATGAGGTTAATACAGGTTAATATGCACACATGTACGTATATAACGTGAAGCTGGGACAGTTTCATTCGCTTATATACGGTATCCTCGAATTAAACGATCAAAACCGTACCATTACAGAATGTTATTCCATCAGGGCAGAAATGATTTTATGAATAAAAATAAGAAGAAAATGTTATTATTATATATATTTAATTTCAATAACAAGATGAATTTTATTGACGTAAAAAAGTATCATAATTATGATTGCATCGCGTGTATCACTTAAGGATGTATTGGCTATACAGTCAATCCCAAAAGTTTATGGACTTTAGAAACGCATTTTTTAAAAAGAAATCAGAC